TCCGCAAGTTTATTGTTTTCTGTTTAGTATTAAATTTATAATTAAGATCCATTTATTACATCGGTGATCCGTTTATTTGGCAATCGCCAATGACAGTCAGCAGGGTTAAAGAACATTTGTTGTTCGACCTGTTAGTCAAATGCGTTTTGTTAAAATATACTTTTTCACTTTTTTGGTCTTTTGGAAAATGTTGTTTGTGCTGTATTTAGACCCCTCTAACAAGAAATTTGTTTTGCATGCACACGTATAAAAATTGCGGTTTTTATCCAACGCAATCATAGGTTTGAACGTTGTTTTCAATTTAGACTTTTTATATTTTTTCGTTTGGGCTTGTATTGTATTTGCCTTCGGGTTTTTATGATCCGTTCATCCTATATTGACTCCTCAAAATTCAAGAGTCTATCCTAAATTAAGGTAAATTGTATGGCTTTCCAAATACCGTTTCGATTCCTTACATCACTGAAGAGACATTAATTGTCGAAATCCGGATATGGTGTACAAAAACCTTTGCACCTTTTGTTTGCGGTACACCATCTTTTCCGCAAGTTTATTGTTTTCTGTTTAGTATTAAATTTATAATTAAGATCCATTTATTACATCGGTGATCCGTTTATTTGGCAATCGCCAATGACAGTCAGCAGGGTTAAAGAACATTTGTTGTTCGACCTGTTAGTCAAATGCGTTTTGTTAAAATATACTTTTTCACTTTTTTGGTCTTTTGGAAAATGTTGTTTGTGCTGTATTTAGACCCCTCTAACAAGAAATTTGTTTTGCATGCACACGTATAAAAATTGCGGTTTTTATCCAACGCAATCATAGGTTTGAACGTTGTTTTCAATTTAGACTTTTTATATTTTTTCGTTTGGGCTTGTATTGTATTTGCCTTCGGGTTTTTATGATCCGTTCATCCTATATTGACTCCTCAAAATTCAAGAGTCTATCCTAAATTAAGGTAAATTGTATGGCTTTCCAAATACCGTTTCGATTCCTTACATCACTGAAGAGACATTAATTGTCGAAATCCGGATATGGTGTACAAAAACCTTTGCACTTTTTGTTTGCGGTACACCATCTTTTCCGCAAGTTTATTGTTTTCTGTTTAGTATTAAATTTATAATTAAGATCCATTTATTACATCGGTGATCCGTTTATTTGGCAATCGCCAATGACAGTCAGCAGGGTTAAAGAACATTTGTTGTTCGACCTGTTAGTCAAATGCGTTTTGTTAAAATATACTTTTTCACTTTTTTGGTCTTTTGGAAAATGTTGTTTGTGCTGTATTTAGACCCCTCTAACAAGAAATTTGTTTTGCATGCACACGTATAAAAATTGCGGTTTTTATCCAACGCAATCATAGGTTTGAACGTTGTTTTCAATTTAGACTTTTTATATATATACATTGTATATAAATCAAGCAACACCATATCAATTTTCAAGAAAAATCTATGGATTGGTTTTCATTAGATAATTAATGATTTTAAAACAATTTTAAAAACGATTTTCTCCGATTTGACATGCACTCTTACATGAATATACATCTATTTTAAGAGAAATAAAATTATATTTCATAACAGAAAAAAGGTATTTGCATTTTTTCGACTTTTATCTCCAATTTAATTTGCGTTTGCTATGGTGACAAGTGATTATTTCATGCACTTGGGAGCCTCTAGTTAATTCTTTCATGTGGAATCATCTGATACATCTGATTACACAAAAGATCGCTTTATGTTTTAACTAAAATTATGTCAAGTTTTGACTAATCTATGATATCCAAATTTCTGCTATAAAAGATTTTAGTGATACGATATTGCGTATGTTAAATCTGAAACATCACTGAAAATATAGAATCAACTAACGGGAACCAAAAGAATATCATCTTCGAGGAAAGGAAAATTAACAATAGGAATGTGAAAGTTATATTTTTTTGATTAAGTGGATTATCATGAAAATTCCAATATCAGAGTTTATAAAAGAACAAGTTAAGTTGAATGAAGTAAGAGTGATTCACTGAGTTCAGGAGGATATAATTCATTTGTATATTGAGACAACTCTGAATTGTGTAAAGACAATATGTGGTCTAAATAGCTGTTGGTACTGTTGAAAATTTAACCAATTAGTGTTTCGTTGATTCGTTGTGAATTTATCTATGATGGGTTTATTTATGTCATAAATTGTGATTCATAGTAATAAAGGAGCACATTTGCAAAAAGAATGGTACAATAAGTCCCCACTGGAATACAAATCACATGTCAGAATAACCTTTGTTTTAATTTAGGCCGTTTTCTCATATGAAGTGTTTCACATTTTTTCATGTGGGAAATTTTATATATAAAAATCTGAAGATGTGATATATTTGCCAATGAGGAAACTCTCCACCAGAGACCTTAATTATGACGTAGCCGAATTTACGGAATGGGTTTTTCTCATTGTTGAAGGCATACAGTTACTGTAATTGCTTACATCCACTTTATTTAAACTCTGGTGAATAGTTGTCTCATTGGAAATCATACAACATCCATCTCCTTAGTTTTATCTCCGAAACGAACTATAATCAAGACAAAACCGTAATGACTGTAATCATTTAATCATTTCTGTGTTTGTCCAGTTATTGTATATTTTGTAAATCCTGTAACTGAAATATAACTACTATAACAAAACATTATAACACAGCCAAACGCCATTTTATTAAAAAAGGAACAGTTATATCACTAAGTCGATAAAATGCTTTACTATAAACATGATAAAAGCAACTATGAGAGTATGGGTTGAATATAATACGTATTTTGAATATGTGTGTAGCCAAACCCTCCTCTTACCTGTGACAATTGTGCAACAACATAACAATAGAACAAACTGCATAGGTCAGTTGGAAAGGGCTTGACTAATCAGATAGATACATTTGTACTACGTACTAGAAATACCTTAAAGACAAAATGACAAAGCTTTGTATCAATGAGAGAATTAAGCAAATAGTTTCCTTTGTGAGATTAAAATATTCATATTAAGAAAATTGAAATATTATAGTTGTTTGTATTAGAATCACGTCAGTTCCCTGGGGGTAAATTTCCAAAGCATAATTAGAACATTTTAGATTATTCAAAGTCAAAATATCATCAAAGTAAATTGGGAAGGGTTATTATGTTTTTTCTTTTATTAAATTGAATAAGGATGGATATTTGTATAAACTGTGATTCATAACAATACAGGAAGAAGACTGGGTCTAAAATGGCGGAATTGGTGGCCTTGGTAGAACAATCATATTTATTCTTTCTTTATTACAAAAAAAGGCTTTATATGAGTTGAAAAAACACATTTGTATTCAAATTTTTTGAAGGATCATTTGATTAAATATGAAAATTCAGTTTGATAACATAATGTGGAAGTATTGTCCTTACTGTCAACCGAACTAAAATAACTATAAAAATACCAAAAGAGGAGTTAACAATTGAAAAATAGTAAATTCCATAATTATTTTCTCATATTTTACTACAAAAACTAATAGTCAGATCTTAAATAGAATTCACCAGGGAACTAATTGAAAGGGCAGAAGGATAATCAGAAGAAGCATCAAGCTAAGATGGGGTAATGATTTCATTGTATACTTTATAGCTCTCCGTAGAACGCATGGAATTTAAAATTTCATTCTTCAGAGCTTTGGTGTAGTGTTTACGTCATTCCACTGCCACATTATTGATTGCTCTATCGGCCGGTACCAACACCAAAAGTGATGTGTATTTCTTACAAAAACATTGACATATTATTTACCGTTTGATTAATTTCAAAACTATAAATATAAATTCCGATGTGATATGCGAAAAATCTACAATATTCATGCATTAATTGAAATAAGTTTACATCATGTTTATTTTTTTTTCTGCAATTAAGAAAAGTTAACTAAAATAATGAATATACACTAAAATATCTTTCGTGAACTGCATTTTATTATTTAAAGAAATATTTAAATCCAAGCAAAATTAAATACTGATTGTCTATTCAACAAGAAAGTGGGAGTATGTTCCAAGGTCAAGAACATCGTCAGCTGTGCTTAAGTTCTAAGGTTAGGAACCTCGTCGGCTGAAAGTATGTTCTAAGGTCAGGAACATGCATGTAAGCTGTGACTTATAAGGTCACGAACCTCACTGGTTATGACTATGTTTTAAGTTAGGAAGCGTGTCAGCTGGCTATGTTCTAAAGTTAGGAACCTTGTCAGCTGTGACTATTTTTTAAGTTGGGAAGCACGTCAGCTGTGATCGTGTTCTAAGGTTAGGCATTCGTCAGCTGTGAATACGTTCTAAAATTACACCTAATCCAAACTCTGAGCGATTTACTATTGTTTAATACCATATGTTGACCTCTGACTATATTTGAAATTCTTTGTTTCTTTTCGTCGTTGGGTTGCTGTCTTATTGACGTATATCCCTCAGTTTCTTTTTATATACGCATTCTTAAAGACATCTTATATCTTTATTTCTAAGAATAAAATACACAGCAAATCGTGAACATGCACATGTGTCTGTCGCTGTCTCGAATAATGATTCATTCAACAGGATGTCATATAGACCTTCATCACAATTTTAGACTATTTTACTTGTGAAAAATTGAGGTATTTTATTTAAATATTTTACTTAAACGACTTTTATGACTTCAACTGTCAATATATCTAATATGTGAAAGTTCATGGGTATTACACAGACAAGTTATGGTATTACACAGACAAGTTATGTGAAAGTTCATGGGTATTACACAGACAAGTTATGGTATTACACAGACAAGTTATGTGAAAGTTCATGGGTATTACACAGACAAGTTATGTGAAAGTTCATGGGTATTACACAGACAAGTTATGGTATTAAACGGAAAAGTTATTCCCAGAAATCTATTATTATTGTAAATAAATAGTTAGAAGAAATGAACGTAAATATTTAAATGAACAAAAGCAAAAATAAAATGTGCTTAATTTAAGCATTGCAAGAAAATTTGTAACGCAATAATACGCTTACCTTTTAAACGATGGACCGCTTTCTAAAACATTACAATAATTTTCAGCAGTAAATGTTCAACAAAATTAATCCGTCAATAAACGCCATTAGAGTTGACATAACCGATCATTATCTTATTACTCCCAGCAGAGATACATTAAATGGTATTCAGAAGAGGACTCGTATAGGTATTACAGTCGAATGAACCATAAATCGATTCATTGGTTGGGATTCAGACAAATTATGGAAATTGTGGGTAGCTTCTGAGAACCAATCATAAATACGAGCCAGTATCAATGATATTACGTATTTTCTTTAATACTGTTGAGCTGTTAAAGTTAATTATAGCGGAATAATCACTATACAATGGAAGAAGAACAAACATGATGGTAGAAGATTAATTTTCGTGTCAAATTAAATTTAACGTCATGGATAATAGTAATCGTTAATAACTCGTATATTTCTGGTTTGCTTTGATTACAAGGCTGTCAAATTAATTTTTGTCGGTATTGAAAACCTTTGTTTACGACTTTTAATGGTGATACAGTGAAAGTAATGATTTCAATAGTAGCTAAAATTACAATTTCATTATTATGGTGGCCTTTTTTAACGACTATCTTCTTTGTTTATAATCATAATACTTATTCAGTTCAATTTACCAATACTACTGTAGTCAGTTCTCTTAAAGTTAAACAACTTTCGCTTTACGTTTGAGTAAAAAGAAATTCAACACCATTGTCAGAAAGAAGGTCATATGAAAATTAAAAATAAAAAGTTCACCTTATGAACAAAAAAGAGAAATAAAAAATATATTGTTCCTATCTATTACTCTTCCAGTCTTGGGGCCAATACAGCTAATCTCGAATCTATGACAGGCCAATACAGCTAATCTCGAATCTATGACAGGCCAATACAGCTAATCTCGAATCTATGACAGGCCAATACAGCTAATCTCGAATCTATGACAGGCCAATACAGCTAATCTCGAATCTATGACAGGCCAATACAGCTAATCTCGAATCTATGACAGGCCAATACAGCTAATCTCGAATCTATGACAGGCCAATACAGCTAATCTCGAATCTATGACAGGCCAATACAGCTAGTCTCGAATCTATGACAGGCCAATACAGCTAATCTCGAATCTATGACAGGCCAATACAGCTAATCTCGAATCTATGACAGGCCAATACAGCTAATCTCGAATCTATGACAGGCCAATACAGCTAATCTCGAATCTATGACAGGCCAATACAGCTAGTCTCGAATCTATGACAGGCCAATACAGCTAATCTCGAATCTATGACAGGCCAATACAGCTAATCTCGAATCTATGACAGGCCAATACAGCTAATCTCGAATCTATGACAGGCCAATACAGCTAATCTCGAATCTATGACAGGCCAATACAGCTAGTCTCGAATCTATGACAGGCCAATACAGCTAATCTCGAATCTATGACAGGCCAATACAGCTAATCTCGAATCTATGACAGGCCAATACAGCTAATCTCGAATCTATGACAGGCCAATACAGCTAATGTCGAATCTATGACAGGCCAATACAGCTAATGTCGAATCTATGACAGGCCAATACAGCTAATCTCGAATCTATGACAGGCCAATACAGCTAATCTCGAATCTATGACAGGCCAATACAGCTAATGTCGAATCTATGACAGGCCAATACAGCTAATCTCGAATCTATGACAGGCCAATACAGCTAATCTCGAATCTATGACAGGCCAATACAGCTAATCTCGAATCTATGACAGGCCAATACAGCTAATCTCGAATCTATGACAGGCCAATACAGCTAATGTCGAATCTATGACAGGCCAATACAGCTAATGTCGAATCTATGACAGGCCAATACAGCTAATCTCGAATCTATGACAGGCCAATACAGCTAATGTCGAATCTATGACAGGCCAATACAGCTAATCTCGAATCTATGACAGGCCAATACAGCTAATCTCGAAACTATGACAGGCCAATACAGCTTATCTCGAATCTATGACAGGCCAATACAGCTAATCTCGAATCTATGACAGGCCAATACAGCTAATCTCGAATCTATGACAGGCCAATACAGCTAATCTCGAATCTATGACAGGCCAATACAGCTAATCTCGAATCTATGACAGGCCAATACAGCTAATCTCGAATCTATGACAGGCCAATACAGCTAATCTCGAATCTATGACAGGCCAATACAGCTAATCTCGAATCTATGACAGGCCAATACAGCTAATCTCGAATCTATGACAGGCCAATACAGCTAATCTCGAATCTATGACAGGCCAATACAGCTAATCTCGAATCTATGACAGGCCAATACAGCTAATCTCGAATCTATGACAGACCAATACAGCTAATCTCGAATCTATGACAGGCCAATACAGCTAATCTCGAATCTATGACAGACCAATACAGAAACAGCCAGTCCATAGCACTTTAACTAAATGATTCTAATTATTTGATTAAACTAAGAAACGTGAAGAAGATACAGGCATTCATATCTGAACTCGTCTTTGCGCAACATTGATGAAATTTCTGATTTCTGGTCCAAGTACTTAATCTATGCCAATTCAATTCATTTTATCTAGAAAAAATAAAGTAGCTGGGAAAAATAAATCAGACAGTTTAACCATTCTTACTCACCGTCTGTGTTCTGATGATTTAATCAACAATATAAGCTCATGATTTAAATCAACAAGGCGGTGTCATCAATAAAACCATCACATATATGGCACACTCTGTTCTCTAAAACTATATTTTCATATCTCTTAGTTTCCTCAATGGGGCTACAAAAAAATCTAAATTTGGCGAAAGCACTTCTGTGATTGAAAGGCAAAGCTATTTTACAGTATTCTTCGGGTTCAAAATTCTCCTGGAACAATTTGTACGTTCGTAGCTTATTGCCACCACTACCGGATATACTATTAGATTTATCAGAATGTAAAACAGCATGTTTATCGAATAATTTTGACATATAAAGTTTTACAACATAATTAGTATTCATATTTTCAGGTTATAGTAAATTACTTCAATTCAGTTCACATGACATCTCTTCAGGTTTGGTAGGAGTTTGTATTGCACCAAGCTATCAAAACGTCCAACAATGATGTGTCAGTGGTTCTTCAAAAACTAAAATTTTGTTACCTTAAACAAGCAATGTATACCTATTATGTCTATTTTGTAGAAACGGCACTGTTTAAAGAGATGATGTTATCGATCCTAATTGAGGACAATGAATGATAACGAATGAATGAATATTTTATTTGCAAAAGCATAAATAACATGCTATGGCAATAAATAGACACGTATATACAGTATATGACAAAATGACATATAGCAGAGGACAATACGTCTTCTCAATACCTTATGTTCCTAACATAACACCACTCTTACCAAAAAGACAACTTAAACACAAACGTATGTTTGTCGACTAGCTTGCTGCTTGTATATTTTCTGAGCTGCCGAGTTTATTCAATAAAAATATACAAACATGTCACATCAATACACATTAAACTGTGGCAATCATAATGATTTCTAATATCTTCTACATTTATATTTAATTGTTTCGTGGACGACCAGGAAAAACTATTTTTAGAAACCTGTGTCCTTTTGTCAATGCCAGGCGAAATCCAAGTGTTGGACCTTACTTGATATAAGAACATTAAAAAACATTATAGAAAACATTTAAATGCAAAGAATCTACTGTCTATTAGTCAAAAGACTGCGGCTATATGAAAATAATTTGAAGACAGAAATGAGTCTGAATAAAAAACAAATCCGATTACGTTTGTATAGCCATACTTACATTAAGAACAAAAAATTGTAACTTTAATTCCAAAATGAACACACTTATAAAAAAAAACCAAAAAACAACATATCAACATACATTAACGTACATGTTAAAAATTTGATGTTGACTCAAGTAAGGCAGGGCTAGAAATGACCATTTATGCATCTATCATTTAACACACAAGCAATATTTTTGAAGCTCCGAATTTTTTGCTAACATTTTTAACTATACTAGTTACATTCTTATTATCTGTATTCAATTTTAAACAACGGTTTTCTAAACATCTTAACGAGCTTTTCACTGTTCTGCTTACTGCTTCAAGCTCACGCCATGTTGAACTCTTACCACTTTCCAATACTGTCCAACTACCTACAACAGTATTCAAACTGTTACCTGGTAATTCTAGACCACAGTCAGTCAGAATATCTAACGAGTCACAGACTGGCTCGGCACATATGCCATCAACAGCGGGCACAATATAGCCCCCAAAATCTACTTCTGAGGCATCCGTGAACGCCACTAATCACACACATCTGACTCATGCAGATCATTACCATTCTCATTCAACTGAGTTACTGAATTTAACCAGTATCTGAGCTCCTCAACAGCTGGAGCTGTCAGAGCGACAAGTGACTTCCAACTTGCCCTTAACAGTATACAGTTATACAATTTTCTAATTCTAAGCCTAACCAAATTACCTAACACAGATTGCATTGATATGATATGGCAACAATTCCGGCAACACATTGCTCTGCGCAAAATGTTACCTTTTCTGACACCCTAAAGCATTTTGCCAATAACATCAACCAATCTTTCTATACGTTCACTGGAAACCTTAAGTTTCCCAAACTCCATATCCCAAACCAAACCTATCCAGGCCATATTTTGCTGTGGATACCAAACACATTTATCTTCAGCTATTAAAAAACCAAATTCAGACAAATACGAGCTAGTTCTTTCAGCTGATTGAAAATCATTTGCACCTCCAAGTCCATCGTCAAGATACATAATTATCTTCAAACCCTGATTTCTCCAGTATTTTACCACTTCCTTCAGAACTTTCGTAAAATATGACATGCACTGGCCAAACCAAAAGGAAGAACACTAAATACAAAATTTTTTGTTTTACCTTTGAAATCCCAACTGAAACCTAAATAACTTCTATGTTCCTCTAATATTTCCAGATCGTGATATGCACACTTAAGATCATATATAAACAAAAAAATGCCTTTTTGAAACAATTCTCTTGCCACTGAACCATCTTCAAATTTAAACCTAAACTCGTGTATACATTCGTTGATATGCCTACAAGCTATCATAAAAGGATTAACCACACAAGGTATATCGTCAACTTCTGAAATGCAACCTTTTTCTGTCAATTTTAAA